TGGACCAGAGCGATCACCGACTGGATTCCACGGGATGTCAAGCGAACGCCTGGACGACCGCCTATGCGATGGTCAGACTTCTTCGTGAAAGCTCTGAACGAATGGTATGAAGTTCATCGTGTCGAGCAGAGAGAGTTCATTGGGCAACTCTTGCACGTTGCAGGGACGAATGGAGACGTTACTGGCGCCCGCTCGAGGAACTCGATGATCAACGGGAGCACAGGTGATACAGGTGATTACCATTGCTTCAAGCACTTTGACGGTGCTGCACGCTTGATGCTAACCAATGTGGGATAGAGACGGCTTTCCAAGGTCGCTTTAGTAAACAATAAATTGATGTGGTACTACGGTCGACTTTATTAGCCTCATCCCTCGAAAGGTGGAATAGGTGGTACTTGCATGCAGTTGGTCGCGTCCATAACTACGTCAACGCGGGAATAATTTTTTTACCCCAAAACCTAGTTGCAAATTGTGAAATCATCCTCCAAGCAGAACAAACATTACTGTGGAAACTAGAGAGCCAAAGTTGGGACAGGAACTGCTGGGCACAGTTTCTCTGTAACACCGCCAAGATGTGACGGTAAATTATGTTAGAAATTTTCATCACAAACGTTCTCTACAAGAGTGCATGCGGTGAAATTTCATGGAATAAGTTGGGAAAGCACTTGTAAAAGAATTTTCTAAGTAAGGTAATTTGGCTCTTTATATTCATGTATTTATTCTCCAATACTTAGAAGGAAGCAAGCGTTGCCAGCGGTATGAATTCCCTTCTGCTGCGCATATGCCAAACATTCAGAGCCTCCCTATCGAGACAAAAGAATTCATAGCGAAATGTGTACTAAATTCCCGTCCACCCTTGAACACTGCAGTATTTGAAGCATTTCCGCACAATTCCCGTAGTGGTACCGGCGTAAAGTTCGGTGTTATACGTACGTCCACTGCGGAGTTACAATCAACTGGGCGCCGCTTTGGGTTACGGTACCGTGGCGGTAATACTGAATGGCTAATGCCGTTTGGACTCCAGCAACTTCGGCACCGAGCTCATTTTTAAATTGCCTAAGTTACCAAATCCGCTAAAAACTTGTATGTAGGGGTAGTTTAACATCCTGATTACGAATATGACATTCACTCTTGCCGCTGGCGCTAATGGATGACACTACGATTACCTGCGCTCCGCTAAGGCCCAAGAGGTAATCGTAGTGTCATCCCTTGGCGCCAGCGCCAAGAATGAGTGTCATAATTGTAATCAGGATGGTAAATAACCCTTGTGTACATATTTTCAGCGGGTTTGGCGACTTAGGTAATTTAAAAATGAGCTCGGTGCCGAAGTTGCTGGAGTCCAAACGGCATTAGCCATACTGAATTTAGCTTCTTGTTGCCGTCGCAAGCCCGCATCCATTTTTGTGACGTCACATGATCGATTTGGCCTGCTGAACGCTGTCTTAATAAGGGCCCATGTCCTCTCCATTTTTTTAGCATTACGCCCTGGAAAGCTTGCATTTTTAGGTGGTCAACCTTCTCAATGATCTGTACACAGTCTTCGATGCTATTATTGATGAGCATGATGTCTACAAGGTGACCTATAAACGTTTCCTCACAAATACTCAGTTTACTATAAAGGATCTGCAAATCTTCAAAAGGTACGATACGTTTCAGGTGGAGACGATAGGAGATGGCTATTTATGTGTATCTGGTCTACCAAAGCGAAATGGTAACGAACATGCAAGGGACGTCGCAGAAATGTCCTTCGAGTTGCTCAGGGCAATTCGAAGTTTTCGCGTTCCTCACCTTCCCAACGAGAAAATCAATATTCGAGTTGGACTTCATACAGGTAAACTATTTTCGATCATTTAGACCGACTTTATTTCGTCACGGATTTCGCCCTCTCCTGGCTTGCTCTGCAGTCAATATACCTTCCCTTTTGGCAGTTATTCTAGTAAAGCGAGCATTTTCCAGAGAGTGTCATTTATAAATAAACCAGTCGGATCGCCCGGCTAACGCCGAGCTCTCCTCCTTCTTGGAAGCCCGGCTTCGCCGGGCTCATGCAACTGCTTTAGAGTCGTGACTAATCGCTGTCTTCTAATCAAATGAATGTAGAAACGCGCCATATGATCGCAGGGCACTTTCATAATGAAAAGTTCAAAATCTGGTCATGGATAATCGATTACTCTCCTCCCCATCTTATGACAGCCTTCGGTCTCCGCAGTCGCTGCGTGCTCCTGTTCAGGCGAGCGTCGGTCGCGCCAATATGGTACCCCTTCACCTCACCTATCCCCAAACTAACCTCAGCTATTCCCCGCTCAGCCACCCTACAGGTCACGCTCAGCTGCTACGCGAATAGCCCGTGCAATGGTTCTGAGTGCACTAAATGGTTGTGTTATGTTGTGGAGGGTGTTATGACTATCAAAACGCTACCACAATTTGATAATGCAACATTAATCGGTTCAGTTCCGATTGCGGTCGATCCATTTTCTTCCCATCTTATCGCAACCGTAGACGCCTTACCGCCGCAGGCGCTATGTGCTCCTAATCGCGAAATCGCCGTTCTCATCTGGTATCCCCTCACCACATCATATCCCAGTGACCCTATTTAACTGGCGCCCACTCCCGCACGTGGATGCAGCCGCCACGTGAGAGCTTGCACAGGTAGGGACACTACGCCGTCCACTGTTCTTTACCACCCGCGCCCTTGCTCGTGCTTCACGTCCAGCTTCCCGAAGGAGAGCGGCAGCTCCTGCATAGCAGCATGAGTTCGTATCACGAGTGTTGGCTTAGAATAGGGGAGCTATTCACCATGCCAAGACAGCTTTCTACTTCTTTGCTGTAACATTTATGAGCTTGCAGTTCTTGCGTAGGAGGTTCTCCTTCCGTCATTGCGCTTACACTCCATATCCAAGCGTACGCTACGCATTATGCCCCTTACTGTACCCAGTTTGCCCGATTCAATCCATATGCCTCCTTCCCCTGCATGGGCTCAGATCCGACTGAGTACGCGCAAGGAAGTGAGGATGGGAGAAGGGGGTCACTCGATACTAACTCCCACCTTCCTCACCTCACCCCATTCCGTACTCGCCACTCCTCATCCATTGGTGTGCGTTTCTACTGAAACGCGCGCTACGCACCCCTCACTGTACCCCCCCCCCTCCCCGCGACCCCTTCCCTCTGCCTCCCTCCAATACATGTGCTCAGCTCCGGCTGAGCACATGCAGGAGAAGGAGGCAGGGCGACCTGGCACCCCCACCCTGCCCCCGCACGAGCACACGTCCAGCTGCCACGGCAGCAGCTCGTGCAATGGCTCGGAGTGTACCGAGTGGTTGTCTTATATATGCTGTTATCACAATCAAAACATTGGATTGATACATCTGCACCGATGGGTTCCCGGTTTGGCTAGCGGTCGTTTTCTTCTTTCACTAACGTGTTTAATCCCGTAAAGCATTTTGCGGACGGACAGACATACAAACCGACATACATACATACCGACAAACCGACACACAGAGTTAGTGGTTTATAGAATGTAAGGATTGTAGAAGACCATGAAGGGTGAAAGATAACGAGGAGCTTCGGCCCAACTAAAAAAAAAGGAAAAGCAAGTGATTTCACAAGTTCGAAATAGTGCTGCACTCAAGTTGGATTAGCACCCAACCTCCGATTGCTCTTACCAGGAAAGGTCAACAGGTCAGCCTGGCCATTTGCAATGAGATGCACATCACTGTACTCATCTTTACACGCTGAACTCAGAACTGTCTTCAAAATTTGCAGAACGATTCTCTGAGCGGAGTTATTGAGGTTTTTCTTTACTGTTTTTCTTCTTACGGGCGCGCTGGCACCGAAGCGTTGGCACCGGTAGCGCGACTCACAGCGCTCTTCGCGCAAAACAGGTATCATATTCGTGTTCAGGGGGTCAAATAACCCCTAGGGACGTCACCTTAGCGAAATCTGAGCTTCTGACTCAACTTCGTAAAAATGGGGTATGGATAGTCATGGCTAACTGATAGCTAACGATACTATGACTAGCATACTGGTGATGACTGGTCTTCGAACTGAAATAACTCTTCAGTCATGTCTTTTTGCAAACAACAGTACCTGGCTTACTTATTTGTGCCGTCTGCATGATTTTCTTCACTATCGGGAGGAAATCCCATTCCGAGACCAGTCATCGATGGTAGGTGAGCTCCAATCTGCTGCTAATTTACCCATGGAATAGCCCACATTTTCCGAATGAGGTCGAAAAATCAGATTCGGCCAGAAACTTGTCCCCAGGGGTAATTCGACCCGCTGAACATGAATATGATGGTATTTCATTACAAAAACCCTTGTGACACGTGTTACGAGGGGTACAAGCAGAAGCACTCTTTCAGGCCGCAATGGGTCTACACTTTCGAAAAAAAACTGATTGCAGGTTCCCTTGTAGGGTAGTGCAGGCGAGCAGAGATGTTAGAAGCTTTGTCGGCTATGTTCTTGGACAAATGCAAAAAAGGAACCTGCCCCAGAACCGATCCTACGACGTCCCGCCTAAGAAACCCGCTCCCTACCCGTTGCGCTCTGCTGCCACGTTTCAGAACGATTCCATACGTAAATGTAAAGACGCTTCAACGTTTCCTCGCGATAGCACGTGAAACGACCATGCGGGGATAAAACCCTTCATAACTCCGTTCAGAGAATCGTTCTGCAAATTTTGAAGACAGTTCTGTGTTCACCGTCCCAAGACGCGTACAACGGTGTGCAGCTCATTGGAAATGGCCGGGCTGACCTGTTGACCTTTCCTGGTTAGCTCTTTCTAAAATCATTACGCAGAGCGTGGCGGAATATTTGATGTTTTGTTTTTTTTTTAGTTTTTCCTCATCTGTAGGCGATCTATCCTATCTCCAGGTTGCTTTTATGTTTGTAAACACGTTTGTATACTCACAGAGTAGTGCAACAGGGGAGGGCATCTACCTGAGCATACATGGATCCTTCCCAATGCCGTATTTTCAGGGCCAGTAGTAACGGGAGTGGTTGGTATGACAATGCCAAGATATTGCCTATTTGGAGATACGGTAAACACTGCTAGTCGTATGGAAAGTAATGGAAAACGTAAGTCTGTCAAAACACTGGCAATACCGGGGGACAACGAAATGTTTCAGCCGGTCGTGTTCACATTTCCACGGATACAATGAAGTTTCTCACCGAAGTGATTGGCGGCTATAAGTGCGAATATCGAGGAGAGGTTATGGTCAAGGTACTAACAACTAAATTTTTCACTTTTCCCAAAATATCCCATACTTGCTAGCTTTGATCTAAGATCCTTGGATCGGTCATCAGAATGAGTTGGAAGAGGGTGCCCCCGTCTACACGTCCGTGTGTCCTTGAATGTCACTGGCGATGTTTGTTGGCGCACTTCTTTCGACTACATACAAGCCAAGCTAGTGAAGTGTGACCTCGGTGGACGCCCTGAACAGTTAGGGCGGGGTACGTGTAGGAGGAACTGACAAGCTCCTTGCCCTGAGAGAGGTGCTATTAAGAATATCTGATCCCATGAGATCAATCTCTCTTGAACCTTGGGTCTTGAAGGCAGTTGGCACGATGGTTTCCCACTCGGCCTAAAATGCTAGTAGGGCGCTATGTAGTGGGGAAATGGCGAAAGAACGGAGTGAAACGGTCAAAATCCTGCGAAGAAAAAGCCTCCGTTCTCAGTGACTTGAAAATCGATTTCGGACGAGTTTCCCGTAGGCATCTTGCCAATCACCGCTACCGAAGATACGGCTGCATATGTGTACCCATGTATGCATGCAGCATCACGGCCGCTTCATACCAATCCCTTCGCTTCATAATTTGCTTAGCAAATGAATCGATTAGAGCGTCAGGAACGGTCGTCCATTTGTGGGCGAGGAAGGCGTTTGGGACGGAATGTTGTTGCTCGATAGGGCGTTATAGGGGTACCCTCCTTGGAAAAGGCGCCACGGAGCGCCTGTCCGAGGTCACGGAATTCTGTTAAGCCAGTTGTACAAATCCTACACCTGTATAGCGATTTATCGTGCCAACTGCCTTTAACTCCGCATGCAGGTCAACCCCGCGCTGAAGGAAAGTCCCGAGATGCAGATGCAAAAACAGGGGAAGGGGGGCTGTTCAGCGCCAGCGTTGCGCCCTGGAGAAGCTCGTTCTTTGACAAGCACATAATTCATAAATTCTTCATTCCGTCGCGATTAATCGAAAATCGTTCGTGACCTTGTTTCTTGAGCGTTCTCTGCTTGTTTGTTTACTATCGCTTTCCTTACCTAATCTGTAATTTTACTTGTTGTTCCAGGGCAAAGGGGCTCTGGAAACGTACTGGTTGCTGACTCCCGAAGAGCAAGAGAACGGCCTCACCGAATGAGTCGTTCCATCGGGGCAGCACGACATTGTTACTCCTTATTTCTTTCTGTAATTCGAACTTAACAGTTTTATTAGCGACGGATAGCTTTGAAAAATTGTAAAATGTTGGTAATATGTGATAAATGTGACGTTCGAGACCGATTGGTGGGATGTTCGTTTAATGGTCAAACACATTGACTGAATCGCCGCCGTAGAAGTTTGAACAGCGGTTCCTATATCGTTCCAAGGGAGCTGCGACCACATCGCTGCTCATAGTACTACCATTGCAAAAGAGCAGATTGTTTTCCGATTGGTTGGAGAATATCCCTTCTTCGAACGATCGCACTTTTACAAGGTTCATGTGTTTTGAAACGAAATGCACCGAAATGTGAAGCTTCCGGTTTTGCTATTCTGAGGTTGCAGTGAGCTCAAGAATACCATACGAGTTCTTATGATCAGTAGAATACAACGCTGAATCATTTGTGTGACCAGATCGTAAAATTTTTTTCAGAAGACCCGCTAGTTTCAGAAGTTGATCAGGTTGGCATCCTCAATGTTCGCCGAAAGCTTTCAGGCAGCACTTTCGGTTCAGTGAAAAAGAACTTGGCCTGCCCAATCAGACAAGATCAAGTAGGGCTCTCTTCTTTATCACAGCTATCAATGCATTCAAGCAAAGTCCTCGCAACCTCCTGTAACATCTTAGGCCATTATGGCTTTCAATGTTGACGGTTCCTTCAAAATATTCAGTGAAGCTTATCTGACGTACCAGTCGGCTCGCCGGCTAACGCCGGCGCGCCTCCTTCTGATACGGCCCGGCTGCGCCGGGCGGGCGCGGCTTCGCCGCGCGTATTTTCTTTCACATATTTCTAGACTCAACTGATATCCGCCTTTTGTTCTGTACTCCACTTTTTTCCGGTGTCTGAAGTACTCTTGAGCTATTTTACAGATTCTTCGTCTGACTCCGCCCACCTCGGAGCAGGCCCCGCCCACAATGTTTGTGCCCCACAATCCTCACCGGCGACCCTCTGCTGACCTTAATCCACTTTTTTCCGGTCTTTGAAGTGCTCTGGGACAGTTTTAGAGAATTTTCGTCTGGCTCCGCCCACCTCGGGCTGGCCCCGCCCACAATATGTATACCCCACATTTCTCAATCGGCGACCCCTTGCTGACCTGAATTCACTTTATTCCGGTCTTCGGAGTGCTCTGGAACCGTTTTACAGACCTTTTTTGTCTGGCTCCGCCCACCTCGGAGCAGGCTCCGCCCACAATGTTTGTGCCCCACTGCCCCACAGTCCTCACCGGCGACCCTCTGCTGACCTTCATCCACTTTTTTCCGGTCTTTGAAGTGCTCTCGGACAGTTTTAGAGAATTTTCGTCTGGCTCCGCCCACCTCGGAGCAGGCTCCGCCCACAATGTTTGTGCATACAGTCCTCACCGGCGGCCCTCTGCTGACCTTAG